GTTGTTATCGTTGGCTGCATGTATGTTTTTTGTTTTTGTTTTTAGATGGAGTCTCATTCTGTCACCCATGCTGGAGTGTAATGGCATGATCTCAACTCACTGCAGCCTCCTCCTCCTGGATTCAAGCAATTCTTCTGCCTCACTCAGCCTCCTGAGTAACTGGGATTCCAGGTGTGTGCCACCACACCAGGCTAATTGTTTTATATTTTTAGTAGGGATGGGGTTCACCATGTTGGCCAGACTGGTCTTGAACTCCTGACCTGATGAGGTGATCCACCCACCTCAGCTTCCCAAAGAGCTGGGATGACAGGTGTGAGCCATTGGTCTGGGCCTTATGTCTTCTTTTGAAAAGTGTCTGTTGATGTCCTTTGCCTACTTTTTAATGGGGTTGTTTTATTATTGTAAATTTGTGTAAGTTCCTTGCAGATGTTGGATATTAGACTCTGGTCAGGTGCATAGCTTGCAAAAAATTTCTTACATTCTGGTACAGTTGTCTGTTCACTGTGTTGATAGTTTCTTTTGCTATGTGGAAGCTCTTTGTTGTAATTAGAGCCCATTTGTGAATTTTCACTTTTGTTGCAATTGCTTCTGGTGTCTTCATCATGAAATCTTTTTTGATTTGTATGTCCAGAATGGTATTGCCTAGACTGTCTTCCAGGTGTTTTATAGTTAGGGGTTTCTCATGTAAGTCTCTGATTCATCTTTTTTTTTTTTTTTTTTTTTTTTTTTTGAGGCGGAGTTTCGCTCTTGTTACCCAGGCTGGAGTGCAATGGCACGACCTCGGCTCACCGCAGCCTCCGCCTCCTGGGTTCAGGCAATTCTCCTGCCTCAGCCTCCTGAGTAGCTGGGATTACAGGCACATGCCACCATGGCCAGCTAATTTTTAGTATTTTTTAGTAGAGACGGGGTTTCACCATGTTGACCAGGATGGTCTCGATCTCTTGACCTCGTGATCCACCCGCCTCGGCCTCCCAAAGTGCTGGGATTACAGGCTTGAGCCACCGCGCCCGGCCCTCTGATTCATCTTGAGTTAATTTTTATGTGTGGTGTAAGGAAGAGGTCCAGATTCAATCTTCTGCATGTGGCTAGCCGGTTTATTCCAGCATTGTTTATTAAATAGGGAGTGTTTTCTCCATTGCTTAGTTATGTTGGCCTCATCGAAGATCAGATAGTTGCAGGTGTGTGGCCTGATTTCTGGGTTCTCTATTCTGTTCCATTGCTGTCACAGACCAGAAGTTTTCACTTGACAAAGTTTCATTTATTCTCTCTTTTGTCACGCTTTTGGTGCTGTATTTATGAACTCTTTGGTGTGCCTGAGTTCCCAATTATTTTACAGTTTTTTTTTTTTTTTTTTTTTTTTGAGATGGAGTCTCTCTGTTGCCAAGGCTGGAGTACAGTGGTGCAATCTTGGCTCACTGCAACCTCTGCCTTCTGGGTTCAAGCAATTCCCTTCCTTCAGTCACCCGAGTAGCTGGGACTCCAGGCGTGTGCCACCAAGCCCAGCTAATTTTTTGTATTTTTAGTAGAGAAGGGACTTCACTGTGTTAGCCAGGATGGTCTCGATCTCCTGACCTCAAGGTCTGCCTGCCTTGGCCTCCCAAAGTGCTGAGCTTACAGGCGTGAGCCACCGCGCCTGGCCTTACGGTATGTTTTTCTAATTCTTGATAGATTACCATTTTATAATTTCATTATTTTGCATTTAAAGATATGATCTATTTTGAAAGAGTGTGAAATTTCAGTGCAGATTCATCTTTTTTCATCTGTGGATATTCGTTTGGTGCAAGCACCATTATTTGAAAATCCTCCTTTCAATTGCTTTGATATTTTCATCAAATATCAGTTGAAAGTACATGCATGTGGAGCATAGTTCTGCATGTTCTATTCCGTTCCATGGATATATATATATCTCCAATGCCATGCAGTCTTTTTTTTTTTTATTATTATTATTTTTTTTTAAAGATTGAGTTTCACCATGTTGGCCAGGCTGGTCTTGAACTCCTGACCTCAGGTGATCCACCCACCTCAGCCTCCCAAAGTGCTAGGATTACAGGTGTGAGCCACCGTGCCTGGCGTTTTTTTTTTTTTTTCAATGCGGAATCTCACTCTGTCACCCAGGCTGGAGTGCAGCGTTCATGTTCTCGACTCACTGCAGCCTCCTTCTCTCCGGTTTACGTGATTCTCCCATCTCAGCTTCCTGAGTAGCTGAGACCACAGGCATGTACCACCATGCCTGGCTAATTTTTGTATTTTTTGTAGAGGTAGGGTCTCACTATGTTGCCCAGGGTGCTCTTGAAATCCCGGGCTCAAGTGCTCTGCCTGCCACGGCCTCTCAAAAGTGCTGGGATTACAGGCATGAGCCAACACACCCAGCTACAATCTTGATTATGTTTACTGTTTTCCAAATCTTGATATGGGTTCAGTGATTTCACCCACATTTCTCTTCTTTTTCTTATGTTTCAGCTATTCTAGTTTCTCTCCCTTTCCAGATAAGTTTTAGAATAATCTAATGAAATGGCAACTTTCTAGGAAATATGTTTAGAATAATCTAATGAAATGGCAAATTTCTAGGAAATATGCTCTCCCAATATTGACATTAGTTTAAAAGAAAATCCAAACAGAACAATATCCGTTGAAGAAATTGACATGTTTTGTGAGGTGGGCAGATTACTTGATCCCAGGCGTTCCAGACCAGCCTGAGCAAAATGACAAAACTCCATCTATAGAAATTTTTTTTTTTTTTTTTGAGACGGAGTTTCGCTCTGGAGTGCAATGGCGTGATCTCGGCTCACCACAACCTGGGAGGCGGAGGTTGCAGGGAGCCAAGATTGTGCCACTGTACTCTAGCCTGGGAGACAGTGTGAGGCTCCACCTCAAAAAAAAAGAAGAAAAAGAAAAAGAGGGTGCTCACATTCATAAATGCAAGAAAAAAATTGCAATATTTAATAGGAAATAATGTTACATAAAAATAATGAACTAGGAAGTGAGCATCTTCATCAAATTGCCAAACATCTGGGACATGTTACAGAAAGTCACACTAAATTCAGAAATGACACTAAGGAGCTTCTAGTTTCCTCTAATCCAACATCATCGTGGAGGGAATAGCCAAAAAATTTTAAGAAGAGCAAGATATGCCGGGCGCGGTGGCTCAAGCCTGTAATCCCAGCACTTTGGGAGGCCGAGGCGGGTGGATCACGAGGTCGAGAGATCGAGACCATCCTGGTCAACATGGTGAAACCCCGTCTCTACTAAAAGTGCGAAAAATTAGGTGGGCGTGGTGGCACGTGCCTGTAATCCCAGCTACTCAGGAGGCTGAGGCAGGAGAACTGCCTGAGCCCAGGAGGCGGAGGTTGCGGTGAGCCGAGATCGCGCCATTGCACTCCAGCCTGGGTAACAAGGGTGAAACTCCGTCTCAAAAAAAAAAAAAAAAAAAAAGAAGAGCAAGATGTGAGATAAGAATTGTCAATCAAAGAGGTAAAAGTCATTCAGGAGCAGATGATTCAATTTCCATGTAAATATATGATTTTGAATGAATCTCTTACTCCTGATTTCTAACTTGATTGCTCTGCGGTTGAAGGGATTGTTATGATCTCAAGTTCTTTTAGTTCTTTTGCATTTGCTGAGGAGTGTTTTACTTTCAATTATGTGATCTATTGAAGAGTGTGTGCCATGTGACGATGGGAAAAATGCATATTCTACTGTTTTTGAGTAGAGAGTTCCATAGATGTCTATCAGGGTCATTTGATCCAGCATTGAGTACAGATCCTGAATATTTTTGTTAATTTTCTGTCTCGATGGTCTGTCTAATATTGCCAGTGGGGTGTTAAAGTCTCCCACTATTACTATGTGGGAGTCTCAGTGTCTTCGAAAGTGCCTAGGAACTTGCATTTTGAGCGAGTTCTTGCTTTAGGAATACAGGGTGCTTCTGTATTGTGTACATATATATATATTTAGGATAGTTAGAGCTTCTTGTCAAATTGAACTTTTTACCATTGTGTAATGCCCTTTCCTGTCTTTTTAAAACCTTTGTTGGTTTAAAGTCTGTTTGTCAGAAACTAGATTGCAACCCCTGCTTTTTTTCTTTTCTTTCTTTTTTGAGATGGAGTCTTGCTGGGATTACAGGCATGTGGCCCCACACCCGCCCAGCTAATTTTGTGTTTTTTTTAGTAGAGATGGGGTTTCTCCATGTCAGGCTGGTCTTGAGCCCCTCCCACCTCCATCGACCTCCCAAAGTGCTAGGATTATAGGTGTGAGTCACTACACCCGTGGTGTGTAGTGGGGAGATGTTTCTTATGAGAATCTTACACGATTATTCATGAAGGGCCCATGCAGGGGCGTTACAAGTAGCTCTGTTCTGGGAAGTCCTCTGGGCACACACGTGCCGTGACTGTCCGTCCTAGTACATCCACCACATGTCTCATTTGCATCTAAAATCCAACGTGGAATATCTGGTTAAAAAAATAAAATCTCCATCCAGGGGTGTTTTTTAGTATTTTAATGAGAAAAAGGCTATATTAGGATGAATTATTAGAGCAGCATACATGCTCCTCGGTGGGGAAAATCTATCTCGGTAATATCTGGCTAGGGCTTGGTAAGTTCCCTTCTGGAACAGAGGAGCGCACACTAGGCCAGGTGTAGCCAATGTAGCCACTCCAGACACTCTCCTTCTTTATTTTTTTTTTCTTTTTGTTGTTGTTGTTGTTTTTGGAAATGGAGTTTTGCCCTTGTTGCCCAGGCTGTAGTGCAACGGCATGATCTCTGCTCACCGCAACCTGGGTTCAAGCGATTCTTCTGCCTCAGCCTCCTGAGTAGCTGAGATTACAGGCATTTTGTATTTTTAATAGACACGGGGTTTCTCCATGTTGGTCAGGCTGGTCTCCAACACCCAACCCCAGGTGATCCACCCGCCTGGGCCTCCCACAGTGCTGGGATTACAGGCATGAGCCACTGCGCCTGGCTCACTCTCCTCATTTTGCTGACTGTCCATGGGCAGCATCTCCAAGGAGGCCATCAGTGGGCTGTGTTTCTAAAGATTCCTTTCCCAGGGGCTCTCTTGCCTGCTCATGCCTACCTAACTGCCTACCCTAACAATTCCCCTCAAGAGATGGAGACCCTGAAAGGCTTTGGGTGTAAGGACGTCGTGGGTCTTCTGTAACTACTTCCTGCTGACATGGGACGAAGAAGTCATCAGGGTCTCCGTCTCTTGCTCTCTGTCAGGGAAGGAGCCCCTCTGTAGTTTCCCGGAATCTTTGCCCGCTGGCATCCAAGGGGGAGATGTACTTGTAGGTGCTGGGACCTCCAGGGACGATTGGATGATGGCTTTCCATTTTTAGGGGCTGTGAGTGAAATTGCCGTATCCTGGAAGAGACACATTTAATCAGTAAATTATAGAGACAAGGGCCAAAAAGGAGAAGGAAGACTATAAGTGCAGCTGGTCCCAATAAAGGGACAAACCACGTGTGGGAGGGGAGAGCAGACGTCACAGCCTTCCAAATGGACCCTTCGGAAGCACCTCCTTTTCCAAACTCATGGAGCCACGTAGCGTGGTCATAGATCTTTCTGATATCCTCCTCTATTGCCCCACTGTTATTGACATAAGTGCAACAAGATTGATTGATCACGGCACAGACTCCACCCTGCTCTGCTAAGAGGTAATCTAAGGCCAATCTGTTGTCCATGACCACGTTGGCCAGAGAATCCAGGGAGGCCTTGAGTTTAGAGATGGCGTCTCCGGTGCTCTTAGCCAGGTTCCCTATTTGCGTGGAGAGATTTCGGAGGGTGATTTCATGATAGGCGAACCCTCCCCACGGGGCGATCATTCCTACGGTCGCTCCTATCCCTGCCAATATGAGACCCAGAGCTCTTTTCTGTCTGGGTTGGGTGGTGTTATAAACGGTTACCCCTACCCCCCGTGGCCCCAAAAGTCCCACAGCACACTCCCCCACATGTTGGATGTTATTGATGCAGGTAAAGAGGTTTGCCGAAGGGGGGTTCGAATAAGTTCTCTTAGGACTTCCCTCAAAGGGCAGTTTATTTTGCTTTGGTCCACATAAAAATACATAGCCAGGAGGGGTACAGGCCCACCGGGGGCTTTTGGTGTTGAACCACCTGTGTAAATGCGACTTCCACCCTGTTTGAATTGTTTGATTGCATGTAGGGGATAGAGGCCCTCCCTGGAGAGCGCTACCTTTTGGCCAAATGTGGGCAGTGTGTGCCTTGGGAAGCGAATACAGAACCCTCCATGTTATTAGCTCTTTTCCTTCCCAGGCTGTACACTGATTCTGGAGTGGCTTCTTTGGATTATTCACTGGGTGATTGCCAGCTGGGCACCAGTGAGTCAAGTTAGGGTGGCAACCTGTTGAGGAAAAGCTCATGGGCTGGATGGTGGGAATGGGGAATTCCTCCGCCAAGGTGACGTTCCAGTCACAGTGTCCTCGAGGGCACGGACAACAGGTTTGGTTTAGAGAAGAGCAGTTGAACAAATACACAGAAGTTTTATAGCTTTGATTGAAAGGTGGAGTGAGATCCAGGCAGGGGACTTGGTACGCTGAGTTAGCAAGTGAAACCTGGAGCGGAACAGATTTATGTTGGCCTTCAGGGATTCCTGAACCAAATGTTAGGTTTAGAGAAAAATTTCTTAACAAAATATATTGGTAAGATGAGGATCTGGTGATGAAGTCGTGACAAATCCAACAGTTGGTTAGATGGTTTCCAGAAGCAATGATTTTGGAGAAATTGACAAGCAAATTTTCACTCCATTGGGCTTGTGAGAGCAGGGGCATGGGAAGGAGGTAAAGATAAAGGAAAAGGTATTTCTCTGTCATAGCGGATTTTCCCTTAAGCTTTATGAAAACAAAATAAAAGTGGTGAAAATAGGAGAGAAAAATAAATGGTTATATGTAGTGTTTAGTGATGAAACAGGCTGTTATCAGGACTTTAGGTGACATGCAAGTTAGGGTCAAAATGAGTGGAATAACCAGTACCGCTGCAACTAAGATTCCCAGTAGTGAGCTGACCTTATTTTGGGTAAAAGGAGAGAAGGCTTTACTTATCTCTTCACTTGAAGAGGAATCTGAAGCCGTCCAGTGGTTGGATCATGAGACTACTCAGACGCTGATTCTGTTGTTGGTTCTTCAGCGTCTTCCCATAGTTTTCCTCGAGGGTGATGTATCCAACTAGAGATTCCAGAAACTTTAATAACTGTTGGGGCAGAAAGTAATAAAGGAGTCTTTGCATGAGGGACAGACCCAGGCTAGTTGAGACCCATGTGACCATTGCTCTAGGTTTTGATGCGGGACTTGTCACCCTGGCTGGTGTAAGGGTTGATTACCAAAAGGGTCAGGTTCAGGCAGTACCTTTTGCCCAAACATCTGGATGGCTTGTTGAAATTGGGCCAGTGATGTTATATATTTGGTTAATTGGGTAACATCTGGATCTAACATTGAGTCTGCACATTGGAAGGGTCTTTCAAATAAAATTTCTTTCTTTTTTGAGATGGAATCTCGCTCTGTTGTTCAAGCTGGAGTGCAGTGGTGAACTCTCGGCTCACTGCAGCCTCTGCCTCCCAGGTTCAAGCAATTCTTCTGCCTCAGCCTCCCTGTAGCTGGGACTACAGGCATGCCCCACCATGCCCAGCAAATTTTTTTGTGTTTTTAGTAGAGCCAGAGTTTCACCATATCGGCCAGGCTGGTCTCAAACTCCTGACCTTGGGATCAGCCCACTTCAGCCTCCCCAAGTGCTGGAATTACAGGTGTGAGTCACTGGGCCTGGCCTTTTTTTTTTTTTTTTTTTTTTTTGAGACAGAGTCTTGCTGGAGTGCAGTGGCATCATCTCAGCTCACTGCAACCTCCGCCTCTCTAGTTCAAGAGATTCTCCTCCTGCCTCGGCCTCCTGAGTAGCTGGGATTACAGGTACCCACAAGTACACCCAGCTAATTTTTGTATTTTAGTAGAGACAGAGCGTCACCATGTCAGGTTGGTCTGGAACACCTGACCTCAGGTGATCTGCCCACCTCGGCCTCCCAAAGTACTGGGATTATAGGCATGAGCCACTGCATGGGCTGTTAGTGAAATTTCAAAAGGACTCATGCATAAATATGAGTTAGGGGCAATTGTAATTCAGAGCGGTGCCATGGGCAGGAGTTTTAGCCATGGTCAGGTTTCCTGGCACACTTTGTTCAGGGTCCTTTCTACCTTCCCAGAGGATCTTGGCCTTCAGAAGGAGTGCTATATTTATCGGGCTTTTGCCACTAATTAAATGGTGTGTGAAATGAAAAATGGGCCATTGTCACTTTGTTAAGACAAACTAAGCCAACACTGAGGGGTTTTTTTTTTTTTTTTTTTAAGAAGTACCTTGGCTCCTTCCTGGGCCTTTCCTGTTTTTGTAGGAAAGCCTTTAACCCACCCAGTAAATGTACCCCAAAGACCAGAAGGTATTTATAGCCTCTACAGGCTGGAAACTGAGTGAAATACATCTGTCAGTCTTTCCCTGGGTACATTACCCGATGCTGAACTGGCTGAATTAAGCAGGGCAGCATAGGGCCCCGAGGGCTATTGCAGGCACAGGATGAATGGGCGTTAAAGACCGACAGACAGTCTCGTAGAGCCCTTGTCCAGAGAAAAGGTGTTTGTACACGTGCTGGAGATGATGTCTCCCGAAGTGACGTGAATCGTGGAGTGCTCTTACAAGTGTTTCCTGCAGGGCCGAGGAAAGTGGAGAATCCTCCCCCTGTAGACCCCCTCAGGTTCTCGGGTGTCTCCGTGTTTGATAGCCCGTTTCCTTTCCTCATGTGTGTATTGTGGGTGGGTAAGGTGTTAGGTAAAGTTGGCATAAGGGCCGTGAGGCACTCCCCAGAGAGGGCACTGGTCCCGGCTGCTTGGTCTGCCCTCCTGTTTGGCTGGGCAGTTTCACCCTCGTCTGTGTCCCTGGCCATGGTCTACAGCAGCCTCCTGTGATAGGTGTACAGCTCCGAGACGAAGATCTTGGTATTTTAAAAAACCATCTGCCAGTCAGCCAGTGTGAGCCTTTTAGTGTGCGCACAGCAGCTGTCTGATGTGAGGTGAAGACCTCAGTGATGACCCGTCTTGATTTTGGAAGCCCCTTCTACTAAGAGAGCGGTGGCAGCTAATTGCCTTAAGGCACTTAGGTCATCTTTGGGTCCCTGAATCATGCCTTTGATAGAAGTCATCCACCTGGAGCCTTGTGTGACTAGAGTTTGTGTTAAAACTCCCATCGTTAGTCCTCATTTTTGTGGTACGTAAGGTTGGAGGGGTCTTCCTGCTTCGTGCAGCCAACGGGCCGGGGCTTGCAGTAGGCTAGCCCAAGTTGGTTATACGCCTGACCTTGTGAGGGTCCTGACGATAAGAGTTCCTCATCATTCCCTCCTTTGAGAGACTCCTAAAGTGGGCTTACTCATTTTTCCGTATCCCAAAATCCAAGTGTACCATCTTTTGTTGGGCCCAGGAAAGTTCTAAGTTGCGTTTGGGAGCCAGGGGGATGTATTTGTTGAATGGCTTATCTTCTCTCGGGTGAGAGCCTGGGTTCCTCTGGAGTAAGAATAAGATCTAAATAGGAAACCTGTTGTTGGATTGTTTGGGCCTTCGTTTTGGAAGCTCTGTGTCCTTTTTTAGCTGAGAAGTTGAAAGTCTATACTGCATGTTGTTGTGCCAGTTCTTTAGAGAGGAAGCGGATGAGTAGATCATCCACATATTGTAAGATTGGGCCCTTCTCAAGAGAGAACTCAGTTAAGTCTTTAGCTAGAGCTTGTTCAGATAAATGTAGACTGTCTCTAAAACCCAGAGGTGGCAGTTAGTTAGCTGGCAGTTTAATTCTTTGTCATCTGTTCATTCAAAGGCAAATAAAAAATCGGGTCCAGAGGTATGCAGAAAAAAACATCTTTGAGATCTAGTACTGGGAACTGTGAGCGTATGTGGAGTGTTTACCCCAGAATTGCATAGGGGTTTGGGACCACTGGATGAATAGGCATCCAGTGAATATGACAGCTTTGTTCATGATTCTTAAGTCTTGGAAAAGCCCGTGCTTTCTGTTTGCCCTTTTGGACAGCCAGGATAGGTGTATTGCAGGGAGAGTTACAGAACATTAACAAGCCATGCCTAAGGAATCAGTTAATGATAGGCTGAAGTCCTTCCATAGCTTGTGGCCGTACTGAGTATTGTTTCTTAAGAAAGAAAGGGAAGGTTTTCTTAGCTGGACTTTGACTGAGACTACAGTTGTTGCCCTTCCTGGCATATCAGAGGCCCTTATCTCGGGGTTATTTGTGATTTCAGATCAAGACAATTCACCAATGTCATGGGTGTTTCTTCCCAAAAAAAAAAAAAAAAAAAAAAGGCCTTTAAGGGAAGTTCAGGTCAATATGAAGCATGCCCCTAGTTTGGAGAGTATATCCCTGCCCTAAAGAGGTATGGGACATCCAGACATTACCAGGAACTCATGGGAAAAGATTAACTGGTCTTTTGACAATAAAGAAGGTGTAAATCTTGTGAAGCGGAGGTGCCATTTACCGTGATTACCTGACAGAGGAAAGTTGCCCAGAGAAGGGGGTCAGCCTGAGCAGGCGGCTCCCGAATCAAATAGAAAATGTGTTGTCCTACCTGCTACGTGCAAAGTTGCCCTTGGCTCCATCTGCTTGATGATGATGTCACATCTGGGAGCCAGCCACAGCAGAGGGTGCCCTCAGCTCAAAGCCATCATTGGGTTGGAGTCAGGCTTGGGGCCCTTTTGGCTCTCAGAACAGTCCCCTTTTCAGCGGGTCCGCCGATGACAGAGGGGACAGGCGGTGCGGGGCCCTTCCCCCTTCGGGACGTAGGGGCAGTTTGCCTTCCAGTGGCCCGGCTCCCCACACTGGTGGCACTTCCCTGGGAGGGCATTCTGAGGGCAACCTGGAGGGGGCTGGGGGACTTGGAAAGCGGCTAATAATTGAGACTGCCTCTTCTCTCTCTGTTTCTCCTTCTTCTTGGCCCTGGCCCTCTCATCCTGGCCTCGGTTATAAAACACGGAGGAAGCTAATCGGAGGATTTCCGACATGGGGGCACTGGGTCCCAAAGCCAGCCTTCGCAGTTTTCTCCTGATGTCGGGGGCAGCTTGTGTCAGGAAGTGATCCTTGAGGACCAGCTGTCCTTCTGGGGATCCCGGGTCTAGGTTGGTATGTCTGATGAGAATTTCCTGGAGCCTTTCGAGAAAGGCTGTGGGGTTCTCATCTGGCCCTTGGTCAATGGTTGCTAACTTGTTGTAATTTACAGGCTTGACTCGACTCCTTTTCATTCTCTATTAGGCATAGGAGCATGTGGTTTCTGGCGCAGATTCCTGCCTGGGTCTTGTAGTCCCAGCTGGGGTCCTGCAGGGGAACAGCCGTAGCTCCCACGGGGTAGTTGGCATCTGCCAAGTGTAGCTCATCCCCGCATTGACGTGCCGCCTCCCAAACGGTCTGTCTTTCTTCCAGAGAGAGGGTTTGTCCTAGGAGGACGGCGACATCCTTCCAGGTGAGCTCAAAAGTGCGGGTTAATTTACGGAAGCCCTCCGTGAATTTTCCCGGGTTCTCTGAGAACGTTCCCAGGCCTTCCTTAACTTGGGTCAAGTTCTGCAAGAGAAAGGGGCCTCGAACCGGGACCGGTCCTGTGGGTCTGCTCACCGTTGGCAGTGGGCAGGTTCCCGAGCGGGGGCCTGAGGGACCAGCGTAGGTTAGGGCGGACCCGTCAAGGCTAAGAGGACGCAAGGAGGAAGGGGCTGGGGGCGCCTGTTCTTCCTCTTTGGTCTCAGGAAGAGGAGGCTGAGCTGAGTTGGCCAGGAAATCTTTGAGGCCTCCTGGTTGAGAGTTCTGGAGTGGACG